TATAGCCAATATTATATAGAATTTATGCCAGAAGGCCCTAACACCATTGAGGCCTGAATGTTATGGCTAAAAAAATTGGTAGTAGTTTCTAGCATTATTTCAGTGATGCTACTAGACTAAAGGGGATCATGCGATATCTATCTGCTCTGAACATAGGATGATTGGACAAAGAAAATAGGAGCTTATTCATCTAAAAAATGAAAGCATTAAAACTACAACATGATAAAATCGATTCATGAATACATTCACACAAGATAGCTTCATCTATATACGTAGTTTAGTACTTACAATAAATCAGACAAGAAACAGAGGAAAGGTGGAGCTCATTGTCGCTGGGGATCTTGTCACTCCCATTGTAGATCAACACAGAAAGTGAGACGTGAAATTCATGCAAGCAGTGACGAACACTTTCCTTGAGTAGAAATGCATGCCTCAGTGTCTCCACCAAAACATTGCGGGGGAGCTGAGAGGATTCCCATAGAAAGGCTTCACCTCGGCATCCCAAGAGAAATCCACAGTTGACCCAGATCCCCCAAAGAGATGGGCATTTGCTGCTGGAGGGAGCTTTTGTCGAGCAGCTGAAACTTCTTCTCAAACTCGCGCATCCGCGCCTAGCACTCATGATCTGACCACGCATACCAGTGATCGTCACTTAGGTTCGGTGCCCCATCATTAACCGCGTGGTGGCAACAATTCCCATGCTCCCGAAAGCACCCGTGATTTTTCATGGCCCAGATGACGCGAAAGAGGTTGTTCTTTGCTGATCACCACCTTTTTGGAGAAGCCGGCTTGGTCCTATACATGAGTTTCTCCCCTACAAGCAATTGTCATATCGCCATCCAGCTTTAAGAGTCCAGCGTTTTCACCCTCCTGGGATTCTCCTCCTCGCTCGAGAGATTCCAGCGAGTACACCTCGAAGGGATCTTTTCAGCCAAAGCCTTGTTTCGCTCCGCCGCTGCCGAGATGCCGATGCTCACGCTTGAGAGCGCATAGAAATTCATGGCCTAAAGAGTAAAAAGTGAGAGAACCAAGGTGTCGTCCAAGTCCACAAACACGGCCATGATTTAAGACTGCGCCATCTAAATAAAACAATTAATCAAACATTTTATTTAAACAATCCATTTTTCTGGAACATTCTAGCTCTAGAACGGAATGGCACTCGCAACCCGCGGGTACACCACTCTCACCGGATGCCCCATGATCCTGCGCCCCTTGAAGTGGCGAAACGGATAGATGATCGCTCCCAGGGGCCACTCCACCACAGCCGCGATCGCAAACGCAACAAATCCTAGCGTCGGCCCGACTACCTTGACATGGCAAGGATTCTGCCGAGTGCCGCACTCCACACAAGTCGGGACCCTGTGCCTGCGAGTCGTCACTGTTGCCATTTCCACCCACTAAATTGATCGCTGCTGGCGAAATTCCAGGATAGAAGAAATCCCTCACAAACTTCACACTCGCACAAGACTCAAAGAGACTTTCAGAGAAAAAATTTGAAGATCTTCCAAATGGGGCCTTGTTTTATACTCGATGAGATTGCTCTACGTGTAAAGGTCGCTGGTGTAGCGCTAACACTGCCACCTGTCGCTTGCATCGTGGCAACTCGTCCTCGCGCCAAAGTAGCTCTACGAATATTCTTGCGAGTTTAAAATTAGGGCAAATGGCCCGCCTTCTCGGGAGCGCTGCACCACCGCCCTCTTGGCGGCACGGCTCTTCTCTAGGGCAAGAAGAGACGTCCACGCCACTGTGTCTGGCTCGAATGGCATCGTCTGGATCAGCTCCTCGGCCTCGCCCAATCGCCCGTTGCGCGCGAGCACATCCAGCATCGAGTAGAAATGCTCCACCCGGGGATCCTCCAGGCCGTGATCCGCGATCATCGACACCAGGCAGCTCCTCGCGTTGGCCACGACCCCGACGTGATTGCAAGCGGCAAGCACGCCCACGAATGTGGCTTGATCAGGCCGGACGCCCTCCACCACCATCGCGCCAAAGAGCTCCAGAGCCTCGCGGCTATGGCCGTTGTGGGCATAGCCCTGGATCATCGCGTTCCATCGCACGGGGTCTTCGTCCTGGGATGAGTCGAAAAGGGTTCTTGCTCGATTGAGATTGCCTTGACGGGAGTAACCCACGATCATCGACGTCCACGATACCACATCCGGCTGTGGCATCGTCTCGAATAAGAAGCGCGCTTGATCTAGATGACCGAGCTCCACAAATCCATCGATCATCGTGTTCCAGGAAGAGGAGCTGCGATCCGCCATTGCATGGAACAAGAGCTGTGCCTCCTCCATCCTCCCGCTGCGCACATATGACGCGATCATCCCATTCCACGCCACAACATCGCGCTCGGGCATCCGATCGAAGAAATCTCTCGCGGAGTCAGGGCGTCCAGCACGAGCCAAGGCCGCGATTACGGCAGTCCAGGACACCACATTCCTTACCGGCATGCGATCAAACAGTGCCACTGCTTGATCTTCAATACCAATCTCAGAGTAAGCGGTGATCATCGCGTTCCAGGCCGCAAGATCCCTCGCTGGCATCGTGTCAAACACTTGCCTCGTCTGTGCCATGTCCCCGGCCTTGGCATTTGCGACCAGAAGCGCTGTCCAAGCCCCGGGATTGTGCTCCGGCATTCGATCGAAGAGATATTTTGCTTCCTCTAGTTTCCCGCGATGTGCGTAGATGGCGATCATTGCGCTCCACGAAACCAAGTTCCTTGATTGCATTCCATCAAAGATCTTCCTGGCGCTGGAAAGATCCCCTTGCCGGGCATAGCCGCAAAGCATCACGGTCCACGCCACGAGATTCAATTCAGGCATTTTCTCGATGATGTTTCCGGCATTGTAGAGATCTCCACTCTCGCAATAGGCCTGAAGAATCACCGTCCATGCCATGATGTCTCGATACGCCATTCCGTCAAAGAGATCCCTCGCAAGACCAAGATGCCCTCTTTGGGCATACGCGAGGATCATTGTCGTGATCGCGACGATGTCGAGCTCTGGCATGCGATCAAACAGGGTCTTGGCGCGATCGAGATCTCCGGAAAGGATGTGGCCCCTGATAATGGCATTCCACGAGACGATGCTTGGACTAGGCGAGTTTTCGAGCAAGCGTTCGGCCAAGAGAAGTTCCCCATTCGCAGCAAGCATTGCAACCTCAATGTTCCTGGTGTAATCATTCGGCTCCTTGATGCGATCGATCACATCCCGCGCGGCATCGATGCTGCCGCATTTGCCAAACATCTCGGCCGCGAGATTGAGGAGGTAAACATCCTCGCTATAGATCGAGGAAGAGATAAGCGCGGAGTGGATTTGCCTGGCTCTTGTCAGGTTTCTAGCAACTGTGCAAGATCGCAAGAGCTCGACGACCTCAGTTCGTGGAAGATGGTCCAGACGGAGCTCCATTCTTCCTAGATCATCAAAAGAACTCACAGTCATGGCCTTGAGAGAGGGATCGAAGTGGTCCATGCTGGGGAATCCGGCTCGAAAGGCATTGCTCCCAAGAGATCTTCCACGGCTTTGGCCTGGCCGGCTCGCGAGAAGGAATCGAGCACGCAAGTGTAGTGCTCCTTTATGGGAAGAATGTAGTGATCGCTTCTCATGGAGAGGAAGTAGTGGCAAGCCTCGCGCACAAGCCCGGCATGGCTACAGCCGCTAAGTATGTTTGCAAAGGTTTGTTCTCGCAGTTCTAGACCTTGGAGATGCATCCACCGATAAAGCTCCAGCGATTCTTTCCCTTGCTTGTTCTTGGCGAGAGCTTGAACCATCGTGGTCCAGGAAACCACATCTCTCTTGGGCATTCTCTCGAAGATGGTTCTTGCAATCTCGAGCTTTCCAGCGTCTGCAAAAGCTTGGAGCATGCAAGTCCAGGAGACGACGTCCTTGCCTGGGCTCGCGTCGAAGATGGATTTTGCTTCCTGGAGATGCCCGTTTTGGGCATACGAGACCGTAACCATGGTCCATGACAATGGGCTTTTCAGTGAGAACCTCTCCAGCAATGCGGCGGCCTCGGCCATATACCCGTGCTGGGCATATGCCAAAACCAGCGCCGAGCATGATGCTTCGTCCCATTGTGGCATCGTGTAGAAAACGTCCACTGCTTCTGCAAGATGCCCGTTTCGGGCGTAAGCGAGCAGCATGGCGGTGAATGCGAGCTTGTCTAGCTGCAAGGAGCTCCCAAACAGCTTTCTACACTTTTCAAGATCGCCACTCTCGGCATAGGCGTTCATCATCGTCGTGATCGAATTTAAATCGAGCTCTGGCATCGTTTCTAGAAGTGCCTCAGCTTCACTGAGCTTATGGTGTTGGGAGTAGCCCGAGAGCATGCTGTTGAATGACACGAGATTGTATTCCGGCATTAAGAGCATGATGTTCTTCGCAAGTCCTACTTGCCCTCTTGAGGCAAATCCTTCAAGGATGAGGTTCCAGGAGACGATGTTTTTTTGGGCCATCAAATCAAACCATGCTTTGGCTTGGTTGATTTCCAGGCCAGCGAAAGCTTTGAGTATTGTGTTACAAGTAACCACGTCTATCTCTACCATGCCATTGGCAAATTCCAGCGCTTTGTCCAGATGACCAGTTTGGGTATATGCGGATACTAACGCATTCAAAGCCACGACGTTGTGCTCCGGCATTCCATCAAACACCTGCTTTGCCTGCTCGACTCGATTATTGCGGGCATATCCAGCCACCATACTGCCCCACGAAAAGATACTCCGGCACGGCATGCGCTCAAACACGTCCTCGGCATCACCCAAATGCCCACATCGAATGATCGCCGCCAGGAAGATGTTCCAGGAGTGCTGGTTTGGTTCCTCGATGCTGCCGAAGACCGCTCTCGCGCGATCGAGGCAGCCAATCCGCCCATACATCTCCACGAGAAGATTGGAGAGGTAGACATTCTTCCCGTGAGTGCTGCTTCCAGCGATCTGGGAATGGAGCCAGTCTCCTCGGTGGGCATCGCAGCACTCCCTCAATTGGCGCGCGAGAGCTTCACATTGCATAGGATAGAAAGAAGAAAAGTGGATTCGCTTTGATTGTGGAAACTATACAGTGAAAGGAAGGATCACTATCCCTCCGTTCTTTCAAGTCTGGGATCTGTGATTTAAAAGGGAATAGCGTTTGAGACACGAGGATACACCACTCTCATCGGATGCCCGATCATCCTGCGCCCCTTGATGCGGCGAAAGGGATACATGATCGCTCCCACGGGCCACTCCACCGCCGCCGCGATCGCGAATGCCACAAATCCAAGCGTCGGCCCAATTACCTTGACATGGCATGGATTCTGCCGAGTGCCACACTCCACACAAGTCGGGATCCTGTGCCTGCGAGTCGTCACAGCTGGGGTAGTCGTCACTGTCGCCATACTTCCTTTCCGAGAAATTGAGAAGAAGAAACACAGATTTTTTCTGTTCGCTTGGAGCTCGATATGTTTGTCTGTCTTCCACTTCGAGCCGTTGTTTTATACTCCGTGGGATGCCACCACGTGTAGCAATTGCGGAGCACCAGTTGCTAGCTCGAGACAGGGCCACCTGTCTCAGCTGCCACTACTTGGAATCGCAGCCGTCCACATGCCAACTTGATGGGATGCTCGAAGTTTGAAATGTGTTTGGAATGCGCCCCTAAGTCGCATTCCATCTCTGTTGTAATAGAAGTGGGTTTAGACAGGTCTAATTAACGTTATTTATCACAAACTTTATACATATAATAAGCAATAGGAAGATCAAGACAAATAAAACTGGATTATCCATTGTAAAATGTGATTTGGAAATATTGCAAATAAATAATATCTCTAAAGGCTTGTCATGGTGTAAGATATAGCTAAATACCTCTTTCCTTTCTTCCAGCTCCAGATTTACAGCAGCTCCTCTCTTCAACTTAAGCACTTCCTGTTAGCTGCTCTTTTAGATTTCTTATAAATCACGTATATATGCTAATTAGTAGTACTATCATCCTTGTGATGAGAAATCCACTCTAATGTAGTCTCATCGGCTGATCATGGGCTAATAAATGGGCAATGCATTGCCAGGGCTGCCATGACAGCAAATGGGAGATTTTGTGAGAAAGGAGCTTAGTGTGAACTAGAGCTAGATTTGCTAGCATAAATTTCTTTGTGCAGTGTAGGGATTTGCTATGTTTAAAAATTATTATCTTGCACATGCATGTTCACATATATATTCTCTAAAACATGTAATGCCACGTAGGATGGGCAATAGAACATGTACTACTACTATGCTAAGTTAACTTTTGCATATATTAATTCATAATAGTTGTCAATGGTTGAAATGTTGTCTTTAGTAGTACTGGAAGTCAATGGCCTTATGACTTGAGTTTCAAACTTGAATCATAGATATTTAATTTCACTTATACCTTTCATTAATAACACATAGTAGGATATCTTAGTGTTGTTCATGCTTTGGTTTCCTGGATATACAAGATAAGCTTAATTTGATAAATTTAAATATGAATCAAGGAGTATTATAGTTTGAAGTTAGTGCAAGCTCTTCTATAATTATCTCAAAGAAAGTATCATAGGTTTAGACAATTTCTTAGCTTAATAAGCCATTATAGACTTTCTATTCATTTTGTCCAAACACATTCTCTTTTTTCCTACACTTATTCATATTTCATTCCTGTTTCAGTATCATTGACACTTAAGAATAACAATGTCAGATTTTAACTCCCCATTTCACTTAGAAAGGCCTGAAATTTCAACAGATAGAGACGGTACACCAATGCATTTTGGCCTAAAACTCTAGACCAAAGGATAAACTCATTGGTTTTGGTGGCTTGTTTTGAATGTTGGTTTGCCATAATATTCTTTAATCTCGTAAATTTCAGCTTGGCATATCTAGCAAGTTTTTCAGATTATATAAAATTAACTAAAGATGGTACTTTTTTTTGTTGTTTACAATTTATTATGCTTCCCTGCAAATTCACACCCTTCTGAACAAAAGTTGAAAGTCGCAACTCTCCCAAAAGCTTGCTTTCTTGACACCTTACCCTTTAGGTAAAGTCTAGTGAGAGCAAATTAGACCAGCAAATGTTAATTAACATATGATGTGATTCCCCTAGTTAATCAATAGAGTTAGACCTAAAACCCCTTTGATATTAATGTTATGATCTAGTGCAAAAAAATAAAAATCTAGTCACCATAGACTATGCTACACCACACCACTAACTAATTTCTCTTATAAATAATGAAAGCTTGAAACAATTTATCATACCTGTGCAATTGCTGAGCTGTAGCTACTTTAAGGAGTGAGATCAAGGTGAAGATAATACTTTTGCTTCACATGAATGGAGATTATGGGTAGTTTGCATAATCTCAGACCTTCAAGATGCATCCATCTAGTGATTCGTTCCCTTCTTTGTTTTTGGCGAGAGCTTGAATTATTGTGGTCCAGGAAACCACATCCCTGTTGGGCATTCTCTCGAAGATGGTTCTTCCAACCTCGAGCTTTCCAGCATCTGCAAAAGCCTAGAACATACAAGTCCAGGGGACAACACCGGGTTACGTCGAAGCTTCCTGGATTTGGGCATACGAGACCTCCACGACAATGGGAACCTCTCCAGCAATGCCTAATACCGTGCTGGGCATATGCCAAGACCAGCGCCAAGACCACGTCCACTTCCTCTGCAAGATGCCATTTCGGAGCAGCATGGTGGTGAATGCGAGCTTGTCTAGCCGCAAGGAGCTCTCAAACAGCTTTCTACACTTTTCAAGATCGCCACTCTCGGCATAGGCCTTCATCATCGTCGTGATCGAATTTAAATCAAGCTCCGGCATCTTTTCCAGAAGTGCCAAACTATGCTCTCAATGCCGGAACACAATCTCGTGTCATTCAACAGCATGCTTTCGCGCTGAGGCGCTTGGTTGATTTCCAGGCCAGAGAAAGATTTCAGTATTGTGTTACGTTGTGATGATCAGTTCGGGTATATGCGGGTACTAAACACCTGCTTTGCCTGCTCGACTCGATTATTGCGGGCATATCCAGCCACCATACTACTCCACGAAAAGATACTCCGGCACGGCATGCGCTCAAAACACGTCCTCGGCATCACCCAAATGCCCACATCGAATGATCACGCCAGGGAGATGTTCCAGGAGTGCTGGTTTGGCTCCTCGATGCTGCCGAAGACCGCTCTCGAGCGATCGAGGCACCCAATCCGCCCATACATCTCAACGAGAAGATTAGACATTCTTCCCGTGAGTACTGCTTCCAGCGATCTGGGAATGGAGCCAGTCTCCTCGACGGGCATCGGAGCACTCCACAATAGGCATAGGAAAGAAAGAACACTTTGCTTTGATTGTGGAAACTCTACAGTAAAAGAAAGGATCACTCCTCCATGAGGACATCCCTCCATTCTTTCTGCCCACCCGGAAAGTGGAGCGTGGGAGATCTATGATTTAGAAGGGAATGGCGCTTGAGACACGAGGATACACCACTCTCATCGGATGCCCGATCATCCTGCGGCCCTTGATACGGCGAAACGGGTACATGATCGCTCCCACGGGCCACTCCACCGCCGCCGCAATTGCGAATGCCACAAATCCCAGCGTCGGCCCGATTACCTTGACATGGCATGGATTCTGCCGAGTGCCGCACTGCACGCACGATGGGATCCTGTGCCTGCGAGTGCGAGTCGTCGCTACTGGAGTAGCGACGTGAGTAGTCCCCAATCCTCTCGCCATTCTTCCTTTGATCAATGCTCTAGAAATAAGAAATGCATCCACTTCGCACTTTGTCTGCTTTTTTGAGCTGCTCTTTTGTACCGTGAGATGGCACCACGTGTAGCAATTGGCGAACGCCAGTTGTTAGCTGGAAAGAGTGCCACCTGTATCTCATGCCACTGCTCTGAATCGCAGCCGTCCACATGCCAACTTCGATCGGATGCTCGAATTTGTCCAAGTCGCAGACACCAGAGTGTAGTCTTTCTTCTCAACGGCATGGCCATCCCATCATTTAGAGTAGGAGTATATATTCTTGGATTTGGAAGAGTTTTTCATAGCAAAAGATCAACCAAATTGTTCATGGAACTATAGCTTAAACTAGACACACAAAAATCAACATTAAATGAAAAATCACAACCATTAGATTAAAGAATATTTTAGATACTTTAAATATGCGTTACAAGAGAGAGTCACTCATTCTCTACTCTTCTCAACATCAATAGGTGAGTAGAAGAGTTGATTGACAGAGAGGAGAATGTTTTTGCTTTATTCTTGCATCTTCTTGCAAGATAGTGATCGTAAGCTTGTTTTATCTCTTTGCTTCATGTTCTTGCATTATAAAAAAGAAATATAGAGTGTTCTGAGAATTCAATTGTTTAAAAAGTATCTTATGGAAAAGCAACAAATCTAGATGGCTTTAGCCATGAAAGTATTTTACTTTACTTTATAATTTTTATCATTTTTAAATGTTAAACAGAATTAATTCCCATTCAAACAATTATTAAGCCACTTTAAAAGCTAGTTTCAAGAAGCCAATAAATCCAAATAAAAAAATACCTTGTTCCTTATTTTGTTTGATGGATTTAATGGTGACACTGTGCTTCCAAAAAATTCAATGTCTTTAGAATTGATCTGGAAAAAGGCTTTAGAATATAAAAGAAGACAACAAAACAACTATAACTCACTCACGCGAGTTCTTGTTTTTTAAGCTCAAATACTTCCACTAGTATATGTAATGCTCTGGGTGTATGTTGCAATGCATCATCAAATACCATACAACTAAAAACCTCTACCCATTCTTGTAGTCTATGCAATATAAATTATGGATATACCAATCCTTTGGATTTAGTTCCTTTTTTATCTCTAAGTTTTCTAAAACTTTCTTGTGATATTAAATAACTCAATTCCATAAGAGTTTATTCCTCTAGAATGACATATATAAGAATTAAAAAACCAAAGATAATTTGAATTGAATTCACAAAAAAAGGCATTATCACATTTGTTGTTTTGCCAAACTTGGTTCAAAACTTAAATGAATTTGTCAATTCAGCTTATTAAATAAGCCTTTTTTACAGTCTCAACATAAGTAAATTTATCGTTAGCTTCATATTAAAAATTAATGTGTAATTAGGCTATGAATTTACTAAAGGTTTCAATTTGCAGAATACTACATGCAATAATATCAAATAAGAAAAACTTATGTCTAGGTTGGCAAAATAAAGTAATATTGAATACTTTCCAAGAGATTGTTGCATAGATGCTAAATCAATTAAGTCTCAAAGTCTATTTGATAACAGACACTTTCATCCCTACTCCAATATTGCACATTCTTCATACCTTATGTTTTGCTCAATTTTTCATAGTATGAGTTCCAAAACAATACTTCAATAACCTCTACATTCTTCTCACATTTTTCTCTACACAAAAACCTTTAAAATTCTATATAATCTCTTTTTACAAATGTGTGAACTAGCATCAATCTTATACAACAACCTTAATATTAGTCATTTTATAAATAAATACCATATATGAAAGTTTAAAAGATATTCTAATAAGTTTATTTAGGCCCTAGCTAGCTAAATGCTACTAGAGGCAATAACATAACTGAAATGCTATTTTTTATTTACTAGTAAATTAACAGAATTAATAAAAATGTAATAATAATAATAGTACAAATAATGAAATGTAGAAATGTAGAAATGTCTTAATTATTATGAATATAGAAAATTAGAGTTAAATAAATTTCTATATTATATTTTTCTCTATTGCTTATATCTTATACTCATTATAAGATTGTCAGATATTTTATTACTTTGTTATATAATACTATAGATTTTAGATTGTGAGTGCATGGAATATAGAAAGAGAATATAGAAAATGTGCATATTAATTAACTCAAAAACCTTAGTTTATATATAAGAGCAAGTGGTCCGGATTGAAACCAATCTAACGGCTACTAAAATCCCATTACACTAATATTAATATACAATATTATAGCCATACACTTAGACCTCACATCATCCCCTTCTCTCGGAATGATGGAAAACTATTAAAGGATTTGGAAGAATGTCAGAAGGAAGTGTCGGTGGATTTGTAATTAGTATTAGTTGTTTTGAATCCCTTTGTACAAAGTGTTTCAACTGTTGCATATGCACAATTTCTAGAGGATTGGCTTGTTGGATGCTATGCCAAACCTTATAAACTTGTGGTCCAACTTGCCGCAATAGCTGATACGGTCCTTTCCACTAAGCAAGAAACTCCTTAGATAAACCATATATCTTAAGATGGGAAAAAAAGATTAACACCAAGTCATCCTCTTGGACGATGATGAGAGAATTCATATAAACCAAATGATGTATAAAAAACAATCTTAAAAATATCTTTTTCCACCATCGGTATTTGCTAGTACTTAGAAGCAAGATCCAGCTTCGTGAACTAACGACTTCTCCCTAGACAATCCAAAAGATTAGTAATGTAAGGAAGAGGGTACATATCCAAAATTGTCACGTCATTTAATAAACGATAGTCGATATAAAAATAAATATTCCCATCAAATTTTATTACAAGATGAGGTTCATATACCCAAGGACTCTGCAACTTTTGAATAACACCCTTCTCCAACATCTCTTTGAAGTTTGCATGTAAAATCTTGATTTCTTTGGGTGACCGACGACAAATAAAAACTTTGATTGGACAAGCATCCCCAGCTGGAATAGGATAACATATGGCAATTTTGGCCCTAGATGATAGGTCAAAGTCAAAGAGATCAAAATACTCTCTCATGAGCAAGTCAATCGATGCAACACAAAGACTGTCAGGGGGATTGGAAAAAGAGAAGAACAGAATAAGACAAAAACATAGAAGGAAATAATGGGGGAACAAAAATAATGGAAGCAAAGGTAAAAGTAAAGGGATGAAGAGGCATGGAAGTGAGAAGAATGGATGAAATATAAGAAAGTATGAGACAATGGGGAAGACATTTCAAAATCCAACTTGGCATGATTGTGCTACAATTAATCCATACCAAAGATGATGTCAAAAGTTTGACTTAGCATCACTTGCAATGACTACAACCTAAATTCGATATCACCTACACACACAATTAGGTTCATATTATCCTGTGCATATGCATGTGTACAGCCATTGCCATAAAGAATGAAAACTAGCTCTGCCGCACGATGCAAGTGTAGATGGCAATGTGTGGTAACAAGTCGAGCAATAGAAGATAAATTTGAATATGTATCAATCAATACGGAGAGAATAATAAAAAACCTTTTATTATAAAAATGAGCTTGGAAAGTAAATACTGAATGAATTAGTGTCGAGTGACCCCTTGATGATACTCACAAAAGAAAGATTGAGGGGTCACTAATTTATTAGCGTAAGGTCCCTCCATTACTTGCGCGACTCCTCATTTCTTGGATGCATCTCAGTGTTCAGACCTTCCACTGTAGCAACACCAATAGGACGTTGTTGATGCTAAAATCTCCACTCAGGAAATGGTGGCTGCTAATCTAAAAAACGCCAACAACACTGATAAGTGTGACTAACTGCATCATACACTTAGCAATGACCATCACGGCCATGACCATGTCTTTGTCCTTGGACTCGAGCAACAGTAGCATCAACCTCTATTGAAACAAGACCATCACCTATAGAAAGTGGAGTTAAAGAACATGTAATGAGAAGTGACTTGATGAAAGCAACAAAACCATCGAGCTCACTCTTTGGAGATCAATTATCATCTCCTCCTTTGAAGCAATGAGCAGTAGGCCTTGATTGCATCCAGAAGTACTAGAGATAGTCTGCAAAAGCAAGTTTGACACCAATTATTTTGGCAACACAAAAGAAAAAGAAGAAAAATAAACTCAAGTTTCAAAATTTATAGAGATCCATACAATCCAAATCAAGATCAATCCTCCACGAACTTAATGCTGCTTTCAGCACCTCCAAGCTCTGCTGAAAAACGTAGCCACGGTATGCGACAATTGTTTGCTTGAAAATCTGAAGATGTCAATCGAAGCATGCAAGCAAAAACATGAAGAAGTGCCGGTGGACAACAAAGGAGATGAACTGAGCGAGGCCAAGAACACATATAAAGACTGAATGTAAGCATGTGAGGCCTTGCGTGGTTTTTTCCTCTGTGCGTGGCTTCATGTGCAAAGAGTTTGGTGTGGTAAGGTGTGTTGTGGAGCAGCCAGAAGCCCAGGGTGAATATAAGTACGTGAGGCCTTTGTGAGGTTTTACCACCGCCTGAGGACTCCTGTGCATGGGCCCCGGGTGAGAGTCATTTGCGAAAGTGTCCTGCATGAAACTGGTGCCCTGAGGCTTCTGGCCGTGTTGCCCCATGAAGAGCATTTTTTATTTAATTTGTGTAGAGTGTGGTTTATTTTTGCATATTGAGTGTATCGATATCTTTTAGTTAGCAGATTATATTGAAGAACTGAAGACTACCTACAGTTAAGTGCATGCAGCAACAGATCATATAAAAAATGAATGCAGAGAATAACAAATCGGGATTTCTAGGAAGTTCGTGCGTGTTGTTAGTAATAATAATAATAATCATAAAAACCCAGTTAGAAGATTGTCTGAAAATTATGCATGGATTGCTGCTGGCTCACTTTCTATATATATCAAAGAGATTTTTTTTTTAACAATAAACATCTAAGCTGCTGCAGTTAAGCTGTGACATTGTAAAGTTTAAAAAGGAAAAGAATTAGAAAAAGAAAAAACAGAAAACACGAGCTTTTCCGTTAAGTAATAACAAATCGGGATTTCTAGGGTATGCGTGTGGCGCTAAGGTTTGTGTGGTGTGTGTCATTTCTCAACAATCTCATGGAGTGGAAAACGTTTTTCAGGGATCCCACTTTCTGGTGGGACAACAGGTTCAAGAAGAAAAACAAGTTCTTCTCAGAGTCCTACCCGGATTTCAAACATGTTTCTACCGGAGAGAGCCTGTGGATTGCCAACAGGAAAACACCAACCTGGGTCTCTGCAAAACTCGAGTCGCTCGCTGACCCAGCTGTAGGTAAGGCCACCACGGCCCGCTACAAATCTCCACATACCCCGGTGAGTTTAGGGAGGCTGATACACCGCGTGAGAGACTCAGCTGAGAGCAGATCCCTTTCTTTGGGAAAACAAGCCCATGAAGCTGTGCTCAAGAGTGATGAGCACAAAAGCAACATCTACTTGTTGACGGGATTGATCGATATGTACTGCAAGTGTGGCGAGCTTGAGGAGGCTCGCAAGATTTTCGACTCCATGGGAACCCGGAGTGTTGTGTCCTACAACGCGATCATCCAGGGCTGCGGGTCGAACGGGCAAGCTGAACTTGCTCTGGAGTACTACTCTGCCCTGAGAGCTTGTACCACCATTCAACCCAACGATCGGACACATGTCGCGGTGATCAGCGCCTGCTCCAGACTTGCTACCGAATCCAGCGAGAAGAGGGAGAGAGCTCTACGCATCGGGATGGAGATCCATTCAATGCTGAGCAAGGAGAAGAAACAGCTAGATCTGTTCGTGGCGACTTGCCTGGTAGACTTGTACTGCAAGTGTGGCGAGCTTGAGGAGGCTCGCAAGATTTTCCACTCCATGGGAACCCGGAGTGTTGTGTCCTACAACGCGATCATCCAGGGCTGCGGGTCGAACGGGCAAGCTGAACTTGCTCTGGAGTACTACTCTGCCCTGAGAGCTTGTACCACCATTCAACCCAACGATCGGACTCATGTCGCGGTGATCAGCGCCTGCTCCACACTTGCTACCGAATCCAGCGAGAAGAGGGAGAGAGCTCTACGCATCGGGATGGAGATCCATTCAATGCTGAGTAAGGAGAAGAAACAGCTAGATCTGTTCATGGCGAATTGCCTGGTAGACATGTACTGCAAGTGTGGCGAGCTTGAGGAGGCTCGCAAGATTTTCGACTCCATGGGAGCTCGGAGTGTTGTGTCCTACACCGCGATCATCCAGGGCTGCAACACGAATGGGCGAGCTGAACTTGCTCTGGAGTACTACTCTGCCCTGAGAGCTGATAACACCATTCAAGCTGATGCTTGCACCTACACCTGCGTCCTTGCTGCTTGCGGGAGTGTGATGGCGATCAAGCTCGGGAGGGAGATTCACCAGCTGGTGAAGCATAAAGGGCTGCTGAAAAACAATCCAGTTCTGGGCTCCAGCCTGGTGAGCTTCTACGGCAAATGCGGCGATGTTGATTCTGCTCAGGAAGCGTTTGACGAGTGCCGAGCTCGGGACAACACGGGTCTCTGGAACTCTCTCATACAGGCTTACACTCTCCAGGGCCGATCGATCGAGGCCTTGGAGCGTTTCTATTCCATGACTCAGGAGGAGGGCTGTAAAGCTGACGATGTGAGTTTTGTCTCGGTGTTGAACGCTTGCAGCCATGGTGGTCTGGTCGGGAAAGGAAGGCAGCTTCTGGATGAAATGCCCAAGCAGTATGGAGTCAGGCCACGTCTGGAGCATTATGTGTGCCTGATCGATATGCTCGGGCGAGCTAACCTCCTCGACGAAGCTGTGAGAGTTCTCAGAGCCATGCCTTTTGAACCGGATGCAGTGGTTTGGACGTCCCTGCTCGGAGCCTGCCGGAAGTGGAAGAATTACACGATCGGCAAACTCGCGTTTGAGCGTCTTGTGGAGATGGATCCCAAGAGCGGCACGCCCTACGCATTGATGGCCAATATATTTGGAAACCTGGGGATGCTCAGTGAAATGGCCGCTGTTGTGGAGAGAATGAGAGGTGAAGGCAGCTTCAGGGAGCCCGGGAGAAGCTGGTGGACGGATGTTAGCTCAGGAAAAGTGCATTCTTTTTCTGTCGGGGATAGGAGTCACTCACAGAGCGACGAGATTGCGGCCAAGCTCAAGCAATTGTTGCTGAGAATGAAAGAGGAGGGGTACGCGAGCGATGTGATCAACGTTCTAAAAGACATACCCGAGGAAGAGAAAGAGGATCACCTGTGCGGCCACAGTGAGAAGCTTGCGCTGGGGTGTGCTCTGGTGAACTCGCACCAGAAGGAGACCATCAGAATTGTGAAAAATCTCCGAGTTTGTGACGGTTGCCATGCGGCCACTGCTCTCATCTCTAAGCTGGAAAAAAGGCTAATCATCTGCAAAGATGCCAGTCGGGTTCATGTGTTCCAGGATGGCAGATGTTCCTGTGACAACTACTTTTGAAAACACGTCAGTGCTCTTTCTTGCAGTTATCCCTGGTTTTAAACCCTCCGTGAGTCAAGCAGAAACATGGGCCGCTGAGTGAGCATGCCTCGTCAAAGTACCGCCGTCAACCTGAACTTCACGGAGAAAAAATTAACATTTAAAAGTTAAAACTATGCAAAAGGAGGATGACACCGGGAGCAAGGTGATGGCGGCTTGTGGCATGACCAACTTTGGGTTTGTGCTCCTAGAGCACGTTGAAGACGTGTGGAGGCTGGTGACGACGGCATTTGTTTCTTGCGACGTACTCACCAGTTCCTCGGCGACGTCTTCCTTCCAGATTTTTTGAGCTTGTCGTGAGTGGTGACCTGCTTGCTCTCTCCTGTGATGACTTCTTCCAGCCTCTGGTGCCCAACCTCAAGGCTCTCTTGTGGATGGAGCTAGCCCTACACAGTGTGTGTGTGTGTGTATCAACCAGCAGATGCACAAATCGTTGAGAATTAGCAACAAGTGTGTATCATAGGCTTAGTACGTAGTGTACTAGTGTACATGTACACGTGTTTCAGCTAAATATAATGGGCCAAATACACCGAAGAAGTGTGTATAAGAAGAGTAGAAACAAATTTAGAAATGTAAATTAAGAAGTGCAAAAGAAATGAAAATAAAAATTGTCCATCCTCATCAGTTTGCTGAAATTAAGTTACCTCTTTGCAAGAAAAATTCAAATTAGGGCTTTTTAGGGCAAAATTGTGAATCAAGATTTGGGATCTTGCTTGATTAGCCCTCTAAGTGTAATCCAGGAACTCCTTGTCCAAGATAATAGGGTCCAAGGGAGAGCAGTGATTTTTCGTGTTCGATTTCAGCCTTCAGCTGGTTGAGAACAGAAAGGAACTGCCATGGTTTTGGGAATAGTGCCTTGGAACAAAACTAACATAATAAACGTGCCGCTGCACATAGTTGCCCCCTAAACACAAGCTTGTGACACTCCTTGAGCTCCTCTTCATTCCACAAGCAAGGCTCAGGCACCATATAATGCTAGCATGTTTACGAACGAACAGCAGGAAGGTCACAACGGCTGGACGATGGAGAGGGTCTGGTCCCTGCTGCTGGAACTTTTAGAGCCCATGAAACAAGCTGGATACGTCCCCGACACGAGGGAAGTTTACTTGGAGCAGCAGGGTGGCACAAGCGAGGATCTGTAGCAAACATCGTAACCGTCTCTCGTCTTGAAAAAGCTCTTATCGACCGAATCAGGACCCGCAATCAGCAGCATGTCGCCGCGGCTCTCCCCCGCATTCCTGTCGCGACGAGGAAGCTAACTTTAGGAAGAGCCCTAAAGAAATGTATCGATACCAGTCAGTGTTTGGGCGAGCTCTTCCCAACTCCCAAAAGCTCGAGGATTAATTGCTATTGCGCGCTCTAGCTAGGGAGGAGTGAATTCGTGCCGGGCGGCTGGAAGAGTCGCGGCGCAGCGGCCGCATTGGCGGAGGCCTTCATTCCTCGCAGGCAGTGATGCTGAGGAAGAAAAGTGGATTAAGAATAGTCTGCTTTGATTCTGGAAACTGTACAGTAAAAGAAAGGATCACTCCTCCATGAGAGATCCCTCCATTCTTTCAAGTCTGAGATCTATGATTTAGAAGGGAATGGCGCTTGAGACACGAGGATACACCACTCTCATCGGATGCCCGATCATCCTGCGCCCCTTGATACGGCGAAACGGGTACATGATCGCTCCCACGGGCCACTCCACCGCCGCTGCAATTGCGAATGCCACAAATCCTAGCGTCGGCCCGATTACCTTGACATGGCATGGATTCTGCCGAGTCCCGCACTGCACGCACGACGGGATCCTGTGCCTGCGAGTGCGAGTCGTCGCTGCTGGAGTAGCGACGTGAGTAGTCCCCAATGCTCTCGCCATTCTTCCTTTGATCAATGCACTGGAAATTGAGAAGAGGAAACACAAGCTTTTTTCGCTTCGCACTAGAAATTCTGTCTAGTTCCCATTCGAGCTGTTCTTTTATACTCCTTGAGATGGCACCAGCGAGCGCCACCTGCTTAGCTCAAAACAGTGCCACCTGGCTTAGCCGTCACTACTTTGAATCGCAGTCGTCCACATGGCAAATCTGATCGGACGCTCGAAATTTGAAAATGCTTTAGTGGAAAAAGCCCTAAGTGGCAAACTAGGGCTTGGGAGCTTGGGCATGGACGATCAAGCTAGCGCGGTATGTAAAGAGGCCATTCCATGTCTAGGTCTGAAGATCTCGTTGTGAAGATAGAGGAGGAGTATATTTTGTTGGATTTGGAGGAGGTCTTTCACGGCGGAGCGATCCCGACCAATTGTCCATACACTCTTTCGGTATCCTCCCCGATTTTTTGGATTTGTCTCTAACAGGAGCGAACGAATTTCTTGTTTAACAGGGTCTGGACACGCTTAATCCCATTCTTACTTTGGGCAATGGACTGAAGCTTGTTCGTCTCTCTTTCTTTTCCCGTAGAACTTATTTGAAGCTTTCAGATCGGAGAGTACGAGGACACTGTCGGGTCCTGCATTGTTTTCTCTGAATCTGGTAAGGGCCTCCATTTCCATCTCACTGACGTTTCCGAAACTTTCGATTTCTTCCAGATGAGCCAACCGAAACAATCCGCGACCCGGTTTTCCCCCTGGACATCGTCGATCCAACAAAGCAACCGATCCAAAAAGTAGTCAAGAGGGTTTGCTCGCTGCAGAAGAAGCTTAAGTTTCGCGTCATGAGTGACAAGGACCAACCTCTCACTGGTAAGTTCTCGCAATTCCATCTTTTACAGCTCCCTCTCTTTCTCTCTCGCGATCACAGGAGCAACAGCGACGCAATGATCTTACCCGCGACGATTGTGATGGTATAAAAAAATAGGAGCCATTGGAGGTTCTTTAACTCCCGCAGGTCCTCAAAGTCAGCGAGATCACTCATTTAAACAAAATATTTTAGCAAATATTTACTGCCCCAAGGTACCATCGTACTTTGTAAGTTGTAGTGCTTTTAAGCTGCTCGCCCCAGAGATTGTGAAGACCTCGCCTTGTAGTCATGAATGGATGAATCCAGAGCTCTTTTCTCCATCACTTTTAGCTTTTAGACGAAAAGAAGAGAACTGCTGTGCCTAGTGGGTCACTTGATTTGGGCTGGTGGTGGTGACAAACAGCAAGCGCAAAAACTCGAGTGGCATCCATCCCTCAAGCTTCTTTTCTAGGGGGCAACTTCCATCTCTCTCTTGGAAGGAAAAGCCGGCTAGAGTTCATGCATGAACATGAACGGGAAAATATTCGCCCAAAAATCAAAAAGAAAAACAAATCTCTGACGTGCGCATGGATTAAATTTGTCAAAATAATGCAACGCATGCTGATGGTGTGTGTGTAAGTGTGCGTGCATCAAAATCAAGGGTGGCATGGCATGGCCCCTCCGTACGCCCAAATTGCACCCCAAGGCACACAGTATATTGTGACCACCCCTGCCGCCCTCAGTGTGTGGTGCCAACTGTAAGGCAGTAAAGGCGGCCACTGCCACGGTTGTACGGCCCCGCGCCTCATCAAGGCGCCGAACCAAGCCGACCATACCCGGACGCCCACGTCACCACCGCGGTCGCACGGCAACCGCACCACGTCACGGACGCGGCCTGACGCGGTCACGCACGTCCCTGACCGCGGTAGGGTTAAGCTATGAAGGATATCTTTTTTTTTCTGATCTCTGCCACGCAGAGAAAGAATTCCATAGCCCAATGCTATCCAGCGAACAGAAAAGGGGAAAGCGAGAAATCCCTGTATCGCGACTAATCAGCTCTTTCGATCTCGATCAATCAAGCAAAGCTCGGGATGAATTGGGCAATTGCTTTCCTTGACTTGGAAAATCGCAGGGCGGGGCAGGGCAGAGTGTTTTTTTGCTGCTCCTGGGCTGTGCATCGGATTGGATCGCAACATCTCGGATGTGCGAGACGTCCATCCTCTTGCAGGGGAGGAGGAGGGCACAGCGCACAGGCCATTACTGATTCTTCCACCCGCAACTTGCCCATCTCGGCATTTCATTTCACCTCTCTCGCTCAGACACGACGACACGAGGCCACAATCATGCTCTGCGCGACGGCGATCGCCGATGAATCGATCGGAGATCATCACGGACTTTGCTTTAGCTAAAACAGGGGATTGCGAGCGATTTCCTCTTATAATCTCCAGAAATCTAGAGGGCTGGGATCTTGATTTCCAGTAGGATCTTGGATCCCGCCAACGACAACAAGACGCGCAGATCGGCGCAGAGAAAGAGCCAAAAGATCGAAAGAAAACAGAGCCAATTTCAAACACCAAGCGCAGGGGAAAACAGGGGAGAGGCAGGCATTGCCCATCAATTCCATGGCAGCAAGGCAAAGCAAGCAACCAACCCATGCCACCACCATCTCCATCTCTCTCCAGCTCCAATTCAATGAGACTCGGACGACCAAAACCAGGCAGACAAGGAACCGACCCTCACTGAGCACACTCCAGTGATGGAGATGGAGACCGATTCCACCCTCGACAAATTCAAGAGCGCTCGGATCTCGTCTCCCCGCTGCTTTGGCCTCTAAAAAGCGATTGATATTAGTATAGAGAGATCATGGTACTCTCTCGCTCGCTCTCTCTCTCTCTCTCTCTCTCTCCTCTCGCTAAAAAGGAAGGAAGACATCACAAGAAAAAGAGAAAACCTTGCGCTCTTGACCTTGCTGCTGCTGCTGGAATTCGAAACTTACCTTGGTGAATCTCTATCAAAACTTCCAGAACCTTTGAAACAGTGATGTGATCGTGTTGACGCGAATCCTCTCGCTGTTCTTCTCGGTGTGTTGCTCTACAGTGCTCGAATTGTAGTTAGCGTTGCCACAGGAGTAGTGAGGCCCGACGATCTCATCCAAATCGCTCACCACAGAGGAGATCTGTGAGGCACTCCTTTCCTGTGCTTGCTGCTGCTGCTACTGCCACTACTCCCGCCAATGTTGGCCAGGAACTTGGCCGCGGTCGTCGATCGATGGCTCCTAAACTTCTTCATGGGCGGATTGGGATTCACAAACATCGACGTTCGCGCCGCCGCGGACTCGCCGAAATCGCACGAGATGCTGTCCTCTTCGTCGTCGCCCGAGGATCCCGAGGATGTGGGCGACGAGGAATTGGCGTCCTCGAGCACGGAATTGGGCGACATCTCCTCGTCGCTGTCGGATTTGAGGCTCTCGGCGGGCGAGAGCACGAAGAAGTCATCGGGCTGGGCGTTGCTGGCGCCCTGGCGTGGGGCGAGGCTGGAGAGATCCTTTCCCCTGCGGACCACCGCATCCACCTGGAGAGAGACACACAAGAATCCAAGGTCAATTCTCTGGAATTTATGGATCCGAGTGCTCCAAATCGACCGATCGGTTACCTTGCAGGCCAGCGAGCAGTAGCGATAGGCGTCTTGCAAGCTCCTCTCGCACGTCTCGCAGGAATTCCCAAAGCCCCGGGAAGGCCGCGGTTGTGGGCGCTGATTTAGAAACACGACTCGCGCGCTGTTAATGATATAAGTCTGCATCGCACAGAGGAATGTGTAACGGTCGGTGGAAGCAACAAAGGAAAACCAAAAAAAATCGAGAAGAGGAGAAGAGTGGTGGAATTCCTCCTTGAATTTCACCACTCTCGACGGCGAGAAAGAAACATTCCAAACAGAGCTTTTGCGATGATCGACTGGAATGTTACCTGGACGAGCGCGCAATCCACGAATTTTTGGATGTCTTGGAGGCGGATGACATCGTGGTAGACATATCTCCTCACCTGCGCCACCGATCGAGAGAGGGGCGTGTCAATTTCGCTCCAATTGGCAAGAAATGGGAGAGGGGCAATTCACCAACTCGGCGAGAGATCGCCCAATTGGTGGTTCTGGAATTGCGAATTCCTGTCGCTGGATGGGATCTTACCTGGAGGAGGCGGTGGGATTGATGCGCGGGGAGGCAATGCTGGCAGATGCCATAGCTGCAATCCACGCAAAAGACATTGCGCTCGTTCTTCTTGATGGTCGAGTGAGATGGGCAGGCCACGAAGAACTTCTCCGTGAGCAATGCCTCCAACCACGCTGGCCTCTGAGGCATCGCGCCAAGCTTCAGGCTATAGCCCACCTGGCAAGAACAACAAAGAAAGAAAAAAAAAAGAAGAGGAAATCGATCAAAACTCGCCAGGGAAAGAATTTGATGCATGGATTGGAAGGTTGCTGCGTATGGATCAAGAGAGAGAGAGAGAGAGGGGCATGGATTGGAGCTGAAAAGACTGAATTTCCCCTTTGTTCTCGTTACCTAGGCCGGAATTTTTCTTGCGCGCGCTCGCTCGCTTCTCGCGAGAGATTTTCCTCGACTGGGACAACACAATGTGGCACGAGGCAAGAGAGAAGAGAGGATCAAGAATGGAGAGATGATGCGAGAAATGTGCGTTCTAGAGTTGCGAAGCAGGGGCAAATTCGCGGCAGATCGAGCACCGCGCCCCTCGTTCGGCTCGGAATTGGAGGGCTCGGCGTTGAGAATCACGCACCATAGGCACAGCTACAAGAAGATCCTCCTCCAAGAATTCCTCCTCACAAAACTCTCTGGAGAGCACAGCCGCCGATGGAAGTAAATGGTCTCATCCGCCATAGCCAACCCTCGCGGGCAGTGCATATAGAAAGCGAGGGAAGGCCCTGCCACATCGTGGCCGTTGCTACCACCAATCGGACGGTGGGCAGCAGTAAAACCCTCCTGCCCGCACCGTCGGATTCAGCCATTTACTCGACGGGTCCCCGTTGCCGGGATGGACGCGCCAGATGCGCCGCCCAGGGCAATCCAACGGCGGCATTCCATGCCAAGTGGAGCCCCGCGGCCGTGGCAACTTGGGGGCGAATTTCGGTCCGTCGATATCGCCCAGATCCAACCGTCAGAAACAACTCGCATGCAAGGTTTGTACCGCGCGGGAAATGGCGCGCTCCCCCCTGGGCTTGTAAAATATGCTAGATACGTACATTTATCAATGTATGGGTTTTAAATTCCCCTTGTCGTGGCCGCTCTCCCCCCCAGGGCATCTCTCCTCGCATATCCCGACGTAATATTCGCAGAATAGTTCCCTCTCAAGCACAAGAACCCAAAAGTATGGCCTTTTTAGATAGATCTCGCGAACTATGTAAAATATTCTGGCAAACACCACACCACAAGTGCCGCTCCCAAGGTTCGAGCCCGGTGTCTCGCCCATGGAACACAAAATCTGACTAAAGAGATAACCTTGTCGGGGCGATAATCGTCCTTTATATCTTTCACCCCGCCACCCCGGATAGAAAAAAGAGTAACATAGTTTCACAGACAGGGTCACATGCGTGGCCCAAGCTCTAGATTCCGGGTCGCGGTAAATATTCTATAAACCCAAAACACGACCATCTTTTTCTGCCGCTGCGCTTGTTTATCCCGTTGAGTAATGTTATGGTACTAGCCGCATGTGGGGTGTCACCATCGAGAGAGAGAAAACTGGCCTCTTGGGTGACAGCGAGGTCTCGGTCCATCGCGGTTTCGTTCAAACGCGGGATATTCCAGGAAATTAGGGTTTGCGGGTTTGACCGAGAAAGAAGACCGGCTTTTTTGTTTACCGTCAAGAAGAGGGTCCAATCCAATCCAGCAGAATGGAATTCTTAGATTGCCCTTCTTAGAGTGGTCTTTCTGGGTTATTACCCGTATAAAGTTTTGGATTGAGAGATAAATCACAAGCTTCCAGGAGTTGATCTTCTTTGAATTTAGACTTCGCAAGTGCAAGCAAGTCCAAGCAAAGCTACAGTGGGATGGGTTGCCAAAACTTGGGATGTTTGTATGTTTTCCTGTTCCTGGAACTGACAAAAATGGGGAGCGCAATCAAGATTTTTGCTTGTACGCGTATTCTCTCAATCATACAACCCCAAACACCATACCAGTAGGAAGAATGCCAGCAACAACCGCAACATACCCGTCAGAGCGCTTTGAATGTTATGCAGGTTTGCCCCGGCCGTATGGATAGGCAGGTAGAGAGATGTTTTTGGAAGTATATACCAACAATCTCCATCGCCCTAACTACCACCAAATACATGTATATAATATGCACTCGCCACCTTTCTTGTGTATGAATTGGAAGGAAAGGTGGCACCAGCGCTATGGAACATGGGAGAGTGGTGTCAACTTTGCAGCTGCAGCTTCTGCTGCTGCCAGGAGGCCCCATTTCATCCATCAACTTTTGCGCTCAGGGGTTTTAGGGCGTTTTCGTTCTCGGCAGCAAGCAACGAGAATGCCGCTGCTGGAGGAATGAATGTGTCTTGTGAAATTTGTGGTGCTAGACAAGGATAGATTGGAAATTTTAAGAGCATGGAAAATGATAGGGGCATTATTTACCACAGGCAGAGTGTGGCCATTTATTGGCGGCGAGTGTAACGCGCCCAAGCGACTGGTCGTGCCTGGCACGTGGCAGGGTGCTACTGGCTCCAGGTGGCAGGTTTAAGTTGACCGCGGTCGCCGCGACAACCGCGCGGTAGCACTCGTACGGCTTAGGGCTGGTTTTTTAAGTTGATGAGAGCTCGTGAATCTTTTGATAAAACAAGGAGCATCGAGGGAAGGGAAAGACAAAGAATGCCCTTCTTTGTTATTGTATCGCCTTCCAGCCGCTTGGTGTTGACCGTCTAGTCCATCCAATTCTACTTCTTGAATCCCACCTTTCTCTCCTTTCAACGCCGCGAATTTGTACAAAATCCCAAATCTTTGCGTACCGCCACCTTTGCCACCAAAAGCCCAAAGCGTCTCTGTACGCCTACCATAGATACATCGAGACAATATACAAGCAAATCTCTGTCTGAAGCTCCCAACGAGGGGAGAAAAACTATCCATTTCGGAGGTCTAAAGCTAAGCATTTATATCCCAAGATCGCGCAGTCCCAGTCATCTTCGCAACAGCGAGCTGGCTGGCTCGCGAGACTTGACCACGGCAAAAGCTCGACTTAAAATCTCTTTGCGGCACACTTGGGCGAGGAAGCCGGCGAGGAAGCCCGATCCATGGGATTCTCGGATCTCGCAGCTTGAATCCGGGGATTTATTAAACCGCGCCCCAAAGTCTCCCTCAAAGGGAGAGTTCCGGAGGAGACGCATCAACACCACCACCATCTTCTATATTGCTTGATTTTCTATCAAACTAGTTATTCTAAAGGTGGTGCACCCGTGTGCGTGCGTGGTATAATGCATAGCATTTTGTATAATTCCCTTGCTTTCGCTTTGCTTGCGCTACCAGGTTATTAGCTTCTTGGTTGTTTAAATAAAGTTTTACATTCCTTAGCTGAATGCCTTTATCTTTTATAAATTTAGCACTTGATTAACTAGAGTTTGTATTCTTCCTTGCTATGGCTTTCATTTTTGCATTTGGTGCACCAAATCTTTTATTTGAAATTGATTTGCAATTTGAAACTTCTTAAATGATTAATTTCCTAGTGGAGGTCAGACGAGGAAGAAGATGGTCGCTGGTGGGAAGGGACGATAACTCAGGTGAAGGCAAAGTCGCCCGAGTTTCCATACAGCAGGACATGTGACCGGCATTTTGATTTGATTAAACCCTAATCAGTCAAAGGTTTGACCGGCTTATCCATTCACGTACATCCCCATCGCATGGCATGCAAGCGTACATCCAGTATCATCATCGCGCATATAGCACGCAGGGCTACGTGGCGTGTGCCCATGGCCTCCGTGACAGGCATTCATGTCGCCTGGCCCTAGATACTAGGGGCCCACTTTCGGGACACGCGCGCCCTACCACCTTTCCCTTCCCGCGCAAAACTAAAAGACCTAAAACAAATATTCGTCGAATCCTTCCAGCTTTAAAAGCCAGCCCACAAAAGTGTCGAGATGGGCTACAAGTGGGATTTTTTTGTCCGAAGGTTGTACACCATGTGGACAAAGAATTTGACTTAACGCACACTATCTCTGGCTCTCTTTCTTTCGCTTTATCGTCTTCTCGCAACTGTTTTTTTCCTCTTTTTTTTTCTCGAGCAAGCTCTTGCGCGGCTCTGCGGCTCCTGCTGCTGCTTTGGAACTAACATTTTTTTTCTCTTTTGCGGCAGGCTTCTTTGCGCTGTAAGGGTACTCGGACGGTGCATGCCACAGGCCCCAAAGTATGGCGAGATGACAAGCGAGCAGTACCAGCGACGAGGTTGCGGTAGATGGATAAACATTCCAAACGCTTTCGATGAGGATCAAGAGGAGCAGCCTGGAAAAGCAAAGAGATTTCCATCAGAGTATCAAAACAACGCACTTCGTGACACCGGTCCTGGGGATGGCAATTACTTTACCACTGCGCACCCCCCCGTCATTTACCTCACTGGAGTCGGCAAAGGCGCCTTCCAAAGTAGATATGGCAAGCTATAAAAGTACCTGACAAAATCACGGGCCACAACACAAATGTGTTCTGCCTATATGGCTCATCAAAGTCAAATCGGCATACCAGGAGTAGAACTGGTAGTGAAGGGAGCGCGCAGCAATTATGCCAATAAAATTTCCAGTGAAGAGGACTCCCACGACATCTGTACCGGTTTTGTCAATACGAATCAAATCAATCAATATACCGAGAGGGAATTCAAGTTGAAAGCATACGTTCTTGGCCTAGCGTCTGTCGCCGCGGCAAGCTCCAAGCCTTGCTCCATAACGACAACCGCTTCCCGCTCCTTCGCAGCATTGTTTGTATCCCAGATGCTGCTGCCATACCCTTCTCGTGCCTGCATTAACCATGGGAAGCCATTTAACGTCAAGCCTGAGTCTTATGCTACGGCAACCAAAATTACTTGCACCACTTGCGCTGGGAGAAGAGGAACAGCAAGCCTACGTGCAGTACCATCAAGAGGAGAGCGAAGATTTTTGATACGAAAAATCTCTCTGGAACAAACTTGAAGTTCACGGACCTGAAAAAGAGGGAAAAAAAACACAACACAACTCCAATATCTGAAAAGTGCACAAGGCAGGCAGATGACCGTACCAGAAGTGAATAAAGACGCGACCCAAATTAAAAGCCCTTGAAATATATGCTGCAGGGTACGTTGTCAAGAAGGGGAGTCCTAGGAAAACCTGATAACAAAGTCGTTAATGAGGGCTTTTTTAGTTAGAGCCAAACCAAAATCCAACCTGTATAAGTGCTGCCACCATCAGAGCGACAAAAACACCGCCGAGTGATAGAGCCTGCAAACAAAAAAAAAGTAAGATAAAGCAGCCCGACAGAAGCTTTACTTACTTTACACAGGAGCAGCAGAAGCGAGGGAGCATACAGGAGCACGCTCATCTTAACCGAGACGGCAAGACTGCGGAAAAGCTGGTTTGAGAATGAACAAACACGAACAGATTCGATTCATACCTGAACACAGCCATACCGACATACCACCATTGTGACATGAAGAGGGCGATAGAAGCATGCGCGAGAGTGATCGCCACACAGTCATTGAATAGGCGAAGGACAAAGATGGAATGTAGTCGCTTTGATAAAGTCAGAAGGAAAATCGCCCACCAAGGAACCTACTGCACAATTCACATTCAGAGAAAGTACGTTACACACGCAGTGCCACCAAATTTGACCAACACTCACCACGCGAGTTCTCACGTAAATTGAAAGAACCAGACCCAGGTTCACCAAGTAAAGAAGCGCAAAGATAACCTGAAGAAAGACTCAATTTCAAGAGAAAGATGAAAAACAAGGAGGCAGCAAACCTGAGCAGAAGAAACTGCTCCACCAGTGAGGTATTGTATAGCCGAGTAAACATACAGAAACCCTGCCGGGTAGACCAAAGGTCCAGTGTCGCCTCTGAGCTCCTCGTAGTTTCTTTCGCCAGACAGAAATCCAAACACCTAAAAAACATCATCAAACATGAAGAACATTTTTTCCTTTCTCTCAAGCTCACCTGTGCCATGTACGCATCCCAGTCGATCTTCGTGTCTAAAATGAATAGGAAAAGCAAGATTCGTGAATCGGAAAAAACAAATCAAGCAAAAGAGTGCCACGAAAAATGCCCTCAGATCTCATAGCTATAAGAGCATCAAGCGAGCGGTTTTCTTCGCAGACACTCCGAGTAGTGGGAATCAAAAACAGCACCGGCAGCAGCAAGCAGCGTACAAGCAATAGAGGGGAGGGAAGGAGTGCCTGCTTTGCCGCTCTAGGTCAGCTCAAATGTTTGTGCATCACCGGGCGATCGATCGATCGATCGAGGACAAAGATCAGTGAACTTACATGAGACATTCTTGACAACCAGAGCGGTGAGTACCGAATCAAACGCGAAGGCGACGAGCGCCACGATCAGGCAGGGCCGCCATTCCATGACCAACCCTAAAACCTACCAAAACCTAAAATTCTAGAACCCTGCGATTATAGTTTAAAAATAAACACAAAGTTGTCTGAAAATCAGATAAGAAGTCGGCATAGCGTTATGGAAGAATGGGACCACCAAAGTGGTGCACTAGACGAAAAGCGAGACGATTCTATTTCCTGCACTTCGCACTTGATCGAAATCGATCATCATCCATCTTAAATTTGCAATGAACAGAGCAAATCAATAAAAGAAGAACCTCGTCAACTACAAAAGATTATCACGTTTGTTCAGCAGCGAGCGATCAAACGCACTGTTTCATTCGAATCCATTCTTCTCGCACCTGCAAACCAGAAACAATCAAAAAAGATTATAAGATCTCTTCTTCCTGCCATTGACACACAGTTTGACAGGGCTGGTCGGTAGTTGCTCACAAGACGCCAATTAACACACACCACGACACAGCCCACCACGAAAAAGAAAGCCACGCAAAGAAAAAAAAATCCAAAAAGCGGAGAGAAAAACACGCAAAATAGCTATAGGATCTACACCCCAAAAAGAAAGACACGACGAACAAACAAGCTTGCAAGCTATGGCTATGGCTGCTACTAGTCTACTTGCGAGAAAAAAGGAAGAGCCACTAACCTTGTGTGTTCGTCGTCCACCTTGCCAGCAACTTTGGAAGTGTGCGCCAGCAGCGAGAATCCCCGGCTCAGCTTCTTCCACGACAGATTCGACTGCAAAGGGCTCGAGCTCATCGCACACTTTTCCTGTGAAGTCCCGGGCGTGATCGTCGTCGTGGGCGATGGCGCCACCCACCCCGTGAGCTCTGGCTCCACAAACACTGCCGACTTCATGTCGATCTGAGCTATCCGGACAGCTCCCATGAGCCGCTCCGGCAATTCATCCTCGCTCTGCGACTCCACCAGGAAGGCCATGTCCACCGAGACCGAGTTGACGTAGCCGAGAGCCAAGTGTAAGATGTAGCTAGCGACCGTGGAGGAGCCGATGTCTACGTCGATCTCCAGGTAGTTCGGGCCTCTCCAGTAGCGACAAGTGAGAGCTCGGCCGAGCAAGCACGCCGCGTGGTTGCCGACCGCCGCGCGGACGATCCAGGGGCCCTTGACGATCCGGTTGATGAGCTTGAATCGGCCGTTCCGGAACTCATCGTCCCCGTGGATGAACTTGTGGAGCAGCGAGCCGGGCACGATGGGCTGCTCCACCGCGTAGTAGAACACCGCGCTGTGGTTGTCTCTCCCGGGAACTTGGAGGTTGATCGCCAGGAGGAAAGTCTTGAGACCATCCCCGGATCTGTGAGCTTGTTCTAGCGACTTGACGATCCGGTTGCCGGAGCTTCTTCCCAGGATGTGGTCGAGCCTGGCCGAGGAGCGCAGCCAATCCACGCCGACTGGCTTGGAGAGCCAGTCACCCGCAGGAACCTTGGATTTCTTCGCGAAGTAGTTTGCTCCCCGGACCTGGAAGAGATTTCCTGGAGGAGATGCCCAGCCGCGGCTCCCCCGCTCTAAATCAACCTCTTTGAGAGATCCCCCGCGCCGAGCCTCGCACGTCCAATCCAGAAAGTCCTCCTCCTCCTCGCTGCTTGCCACGGAGCTGCTCGTCTGCGAGGAGCTTGTCGGTGGGCTGGACAGATCCTCGTCATCGTCTGGCCGGCAATGCAAATTCATGATCCCGAGAGCCAGTGGAGCTGGAGCTCTCTCCTCCTGGACGCTGGAAGATCAAAGGGAAGAAATCAGCCCTTGAGGATGGAAATTCAAGGAAGGGTAGGGTCGCAGGAAGAAGAAGAAGAAGACGAAGAGGGCGGGCAGTACCTTTGGGCCCTAGAAACGCGCGGTCCAGGAGCTAAATTCGCCTCCACGACCGCGACCTCGCCGCCGCCACGTCGATGGATCACTCTGTCGTAAGCGCGATCCGATTGTTCTACTGCCGGTGAATCCCAGGATGCCAAAATCGATCAGGACGCGGGAGGTAGGGAGGAAATACCGACAGATTTAGAAGCGCGGAGACGTCGCAATCGGGGACGGGAGCCTGCGCGCCTTCGTGCTCCTTTCAACGCCATAGCCAGCAACACATGGAAATTGAATGGAGGTTTTGTTTGGTTTATATATATGGGGTTTTTCTTTGCACAATTTTCTTCAGTGGTCGGAAAGAAGAAATATGATTCACGTTGATTTTTGAAGGAATCTGTTTTAGTTGGGCTGACTCATAATTGCACAAGCTACATAACTTGATTCTTAAGCTTTATGAAGTATTAAAATGCTATACTTAAACTTTTGTTTATCAATGCAGAAGGTCATTGTGAGCTGCTGATGTTCTTAAAGTTTTCTAGGTAACATATACACAAGAGTCCTAAGAAAGAAATAGAAGAGAAATTTTATACAAAAGTTATCTAAGAAGTTACCTCTCCTAGAAGTTTGCTGGGGGATTCCGTAATCAGGTCAGGTTGAGCTTATAAGAATTTGCTTGAAAATTTACTTCCCAAACCCTGAATAATGAATTGATTCACAAAAAGTGCAAATACATGTTGAATCAATTTTCAAACTAGTTGATTAAGAATATTTCTATGGTTTGTGTCAACTCCCATAAACAAGCTTTGATGGAGTGGTGCTATATTTAAGTCCCATGAGGTTCATTAAGCATGTTTTCCTTCTAAGGTCCAAAATAGAAATGTATATGAGGTTTGAGATTTAGAGGGTTTTATAAACAAGTTTTATTCTCCCAATAGACATTAGAAATCTGGAGACTTGGCAAAATTTGTTACTTGTGTTTGCAAGAAATATATCCAATCTTTAAGTTTTCTATCCGAGAAAGGGGGATTGGGAAAAATAATTTAGAAATCCATTGAAGAAATAGTTAACACATTATTTCTTGTGTATTTCTTATGTAGTGAGTAATTGAAATTAGGTACAATCAAGTAAGAGTTGGTATAATAGGAGTGACTTTAGCAAGGGAATTTAACTATACCTAAGACAAAGGTGGCAGACAAATAAATTGCAAAAGGAAAATTTATGGTGTACAATTTGATTAAAGTTTTTTTCATAATTCTAGTGAATGATATAAACAAATCACTACAAAATGGGTAAAGGCAAAGACATGACTGTTTATGGAGCTTTTGGTCAAACAAGAAGTAATGGATAAAGAATCCATCTATAAGAAGGATTCTAATGAGGAAACTTCTAAACTTGAATTTGGTGATGAAATTCTATTGTTAAAGGCTTAGTTAGATGCTTTTGAAGAACAATTAGCCAAGAATAGAGACTTTCATATGTAAGTTAAAGTGTGACAAGAAACAAATGCTCTAACCTAATCTAAACACCTAAAAAAATGCCCTATATATTTGGGACCATTGAAAGTGTTGAGCTATGGGTTGGAACATTTAAAAAAAGATAGATAGAGGTACAAAAGTAGTAGGCATTTATGGCTGGCTAGGGATATTGGCAAATTCTAAATGTACTTGAAATCATTGAGTTCCCCCAACCAACCATAAAGTTCTTACCTTTACTAACTACAATCTTATACCTAGGATTTTTATAAGACTCTTATTTGTCCTTAACTAAGTTACTTGTAGATACCACACCCTTAAGTGCCAACTCTAGTATTTGTTCTCCTTATCCTTAATATCTTTTACCATGTAGAGTTCTACCACTATTATTTGTCCATTTAACAATAGATCTCAAAAGAACACCTCTATTTTGCACAGAATTTAGTTGTTGCCATCCCTATTTAGATCGAAACTTGATTTAACTTCTTGTTAAGACAATAGTAATTATTTCTTATGCCAACTATTGGTTAGCATAGCGCTATAGTGTTCACACACAACTTTTGGCCAAAGTTGCTTTCTTCCATAAACCCTTTCAAATTTTTTATGGACAAAACTCAAATTCCACCTTGCATATATTACAAGACTTCTAAATGCATTTACTCAATTCCCCTTCCGGACGTGGCATAGGCTAAGGTCAAAAAATACCCAAGGACATTCATAAATTTGGAAGTGGGTGGTGATTGACATCTATTGTAAAACATGAAGATCCAGATAAATCTAGAAATAGAAGAGAGGAGTCTATTGAGTCAACTCCATCAGAAAATTAAGGAAGTGTTGGGAGAGGAGGTGCTTATAAGTAATAGGTAATTATACAACAGGCTATGATAGACTAAGTGTCAATAGCCAAGAAGTTATAAAGGTTCTTTTTGAAATCAATCTTGTTACTACATAACTTGAATGTTGGTTGAGTCAAAGGAAGATTTGTGGCAAATGACTAAGCAAGCTTTAGGCATGTTTTGCTAAGGGGCATTTATGAAACTTTATTGAGATAAAGAGAGACTTTGAAGAACTATTACTTACCATGCAAGACCATGTTGATGTTGATGGAATAATGCAAAAATGTCAAGTGGCATTGAATTCATTCTACATAATTTTTTTGCAAATCCCCACTCTCAAAATTGACTTTAGGTGGTTTGGCCTAAATTATCATAACCCTTTATTGTTGCTTGGGATCTCTGTAATTGCTTTGGGATTGAGTATGAAACACCAAAGCCCACTCCTATTGCAGAAGCCTCTTTTATTGTAGCCACTTTGGTATAAGAGAAATTTGTGTTATTGATCAAAGTGTAAATGAGGCAAAATACTTGTATTTAGTTTGGATCTTTAATTAGGATTAGTCAAGCTGGCCCAATTAATTTGACTATTCTGGAGGCAAAAGCTCAATGTCATGAGCTTATGAGGAGTTTACTTAGGGATTGGAGTGTCAAACTTGAGTTGATATAAATGAGGAGGAGTGTGCATATGAGTTTCTAACAATAGATAGAAATTTATAGATAACTTATTGTGATTGAGCCATGTATTACCACTTGATAGCTCAACTTGGAAAGTGCAAAAGTGTTGCCATGGACTCCATTACCCCCTTAGCATTGATCCTACCCATGCAGCTTTGGAGGAGCCACAAATGGCATAGGCACAACATGTAAAACCCTCAAATAAAGAGCCTTAGCTTGAAAAAGAAGTGATGCTAATGTCAAATTCATACTCATAAAACTCTTAAGGCCATTGGATTTCCCCAAGAGCTATAAAGACTATAAAAACCCTATGGTGAGGGCATCAAGGCACTAAAACATGTTGTAGCCCTAGATGCCATGCAAAGAGATTCCTAGAAAACAATATTGGCAACTCTCACACATGACAATTTAGTTCAAGGTGTTTGCATGGGATGTTACAAGCCTTAAGATAACTCCTCTCACACTCTAAAACACACTAGAAATCCCAACTCAAGACACAAGTTCTAAAACACACTTCTAAAGATCACTGTTAAACATTATTAAATATAGAAGCATTGAAGAAGCATGGACCATTTTTGAGCTTACAAGTTAAAGAGTTAAGTTGAGCTCAATTTTTAATTATTGTTTAATATAGACTTTAAAATATTAAGATTATGGCAAATCTAATATTTTCATAACTCTCTGTATATTATATAGATAAAAATATTCTAAAAGACACTTCTTGTTCAAACAATTTAAATATTTACTATATGCCACAATAGAGAGGTTGGTTTGAATATAAAATAAGATAATATTTATTTACAGAAAAAGTAATTTGTACTATATGCTATTTGGCTTTTAAATGTCAAGTGTTTCAGAATTTAAAAATTATTAAATTTGAAATAAGATTTTTTTTGTAAGGCCATATAACATTTAAAAGGGAAAAAATAACCATTATAAACTTATTGCATATAAAAGAGAGACTTGATTCTTCTCTAGAATAAAATCTTGAGGGGTTTGTTATAGCATAGTGTTTAGAATTTATGAATCTTCACTTATACTCTTATTTGAAAAGAGGGAAATACATATAAATGTTTGTAGGATCTAGTATTAATAATTTTAACTTTTGCAATTTTCTTCCTAGGGTAGTAAGTCAAAGGTTAGGAGCTACAATAGTCGTCCCATTGTATAGCACAACGAAATTATATAAGAAAAAGAATGATCATAAGTTGGAGATAAATGCAATGATAGAGGGTGCAATAAATTGGGTGGAAAAGAATACCTTCCTACTTGTCCTAGATTGAGCCACCTCAAGTGGCTGATAAAGAGTGATGAAGAGAGTGCATCATAATATGTTGAAATCACTTACCATTGTATGGAGCTGAACAATCCACCAAGTGTTAGTAAAATCCAATGTAAAGTGTGTGGAGATGCTTTTAAAGGGCAAATATTATACTTGGATCTATAATGACAAATTTACTTTTGTTCCAACCCCATGTTTTTATGAGGAATGAAATTAAGTAGGATTTTTAAGATGGTGCTAGTTGTATTGCTACAACATTAATGCCAACTATATGAAGCAGCTTAAAGACACTATAGTGATAAAACTTAATGCAGTACCTAAAGAATGGCTAGTTACTAATGGGGTTGCACTTACCTCTGATGAAATTGAAAACCTTAAAAAGTCTAGTTTCAACTTGAGAGGAGGAGAGTTAGAGATATGAGTGAAAAAATTGACACTATTCTCTCAAAGATGCATAAAAGGCCTATAAAAAAAGGTAAAGTAGTTAAATTTATTAGTATTTCTTTAAACAAAAGCAAGGTAAAATATATTTGGCTTAAATGCTTGAGTATAAAATTTTTCCACGAAGTACATCATTGCACTTGTAAAGGAGTATATAGTCAAAAGAAAGGGTGGTGAGCACATAATTGCCATTTAAAACTTTCCTTATTACACATGTCCAGACTTTACAAAGTGTAAGGAATATAGAAGGCCTATGCTCCTTACAAACATATGTACTAAATCTTCATCAACACCTTACACCATATACACTAGGCAAGCTTTACTATTGCTAACTTGTAAAAAACTTTTAAAGCTAACTAGATTTTCCAAGATTATCAATATTTCTTCTTTACTAATAATATAAACTTAGTATATTTTATATAATTAATAAAACAAATTTCATAGTAGTCTTTTAGATGCGTGATATTGTAGTATGTCACAAGAATATATATATTATTATACTGATCATCACCATTGTTTCCATCCGAAGCTAAAAAACATATAGAGTATTTTTTAAAAGTCACAAAATTGAAATTCAGTATCTTGGAGCAGAATGGTATTTAATACTTTACATACATCCCAATGGTGAATTTCTCTAAGAATAAGTATTGGAGTTAGCATTCTTTTGAGGCAAGGA